GATACATCGTCCAAATGAATTTCCTCTTAATGCGAAAACCGTCGGAAGAGTCTTATGACTTACATTACGTTAACACGATATATCATATAAAATAATATTCACGGTTCAAATATTTAAATAGTATTTAACATTTGTTGGAAATAATATGATAAATAAAAAATAATAATAAATAATAAAAAGATAATATTATACAAGATTCAAGTTTTCTTCGGTTTTTTGAGAGCTGGAAGACCGCTGTCGTATTCGGACACGTTCAACATCCTTACTTTCTTCAGAGCTCCCGTCTTATGATGGACGCCATCTTGTTTCTCTTGTATCTTCCGATCAGGTCTGAAAACAATCACGGATAACGGCCCTTAATCGTCATATTACGGCTAACCCACAATTTTCGGTAATTCGATGTAAAAGACATGTGGCGAGGACAGCGTGAGGTAATCGAAAATTGATAAAAAAAAAAAAAGAAAAGAAAGAAGTGGGATTCACTTTAAAAAGCAAGGATTAACTTCTTCCTTTTTGTTCACAAGTTGGAGACAGTGGTCTAACAAAAAAAAATATAAAAGAGAGAAAGAAAGAAAAAGAGAGAGAGGAAGGTTCTCCTTTCAACTGCCGTGCCGAATTTCGCGTTCGCCACCATTTCTTTCTAAACTCGACGTACCGTGACCGTGAATTCTTAAATATTTCAAAGAAAAGTAGTAGATGTATATAGAAAAGATCATCGCCCATCTTGTCAGACAATGAATCTAAAACCAAACATAAAACCGATACGAAAGTGAAACAGAACCCGTCCTCTATTAGGATTGATCGTGTCATGAAGGAGACGGTCTATTTAAACCCGACGACGAAGAGGACTCACGAATACGGACGTGAAAGCATACGAATAAGAACGCATACTATATACGATATTGTCGCTTCTATAGTTAGGGAGAGGTGCGCGCGAGCGCAGAAACGAGCGTAATCGTAGCCACAGAGGCGTATACCGTGGGGTCTCTCGATTCATTGGACCGTCGGCTTGGTGCCCGCCTTTCACCCATTAAAACTGACTTGGCTCTCTCTCTCTCTCTCTCTCTCTCTCTCTCTCTCTCTCTCCCTCACTCTCTTTCTTTCTCTCTCTTTCTAGCTGGCCGGAGGGTACTTGCTGCGTACCAAAAGCACGCCCATTGAAAATACATTAAACATGTTAATGCGAATATCCTTCACGAAAAAGACTAGCGATTCATGTATCGTTTGAGAAAGATATAGATAAGGAGAGTGTGAGAGAGAAAGACAAAGAGAGAGAGAGAGAGAGAGAGAGAGAGAGAGAGAGAGAGAGAGAGAGAGAGAGAGAGAGAGAGAAGGAAAGAAGGAGAAATAGGGAATTTAGATCACGAGTCGTTAAGTGGTGGATGAAAGAGTTCCGTAGAGGTGGAAAGGCGGATTCCGTGGTTTCCGTAAATGGCAGAAGCACGGCCGACCGGAAGCGGTGGTCGCATCAGTCTGTTTAATAGCCGTATTGTATAATTATGAACAATAGAGCGACAGATAGAGAGGGAATGAAAGAGAAACAAGGATATGAGGATAGAGAAGCTTGGAGGAGAAGGGCAAAAGCCGGCCGAACGTTATACCAAACGCATACAGTTGTGGAAAAGAGAGAGAGAGAGAGAAAGAGAGAGAGAGAGAGAGAGAGAGAGAGAGAGAGAGAGAGAGAGAAATAGAGTGTGGAGATTCGAGAATAACGGAGATATCGCGGGGGAGAGACGAAATAGCGAGGACAAGCACGATGAGAGGCGTATGGCTTATGGCCTGGCAGCCACCGTAGAACACGTCCGTCCGTTCTCTGTACATGACGGATGACAGAACGCGACAGTTTTGACGTGAGCAACCTCTCTCTAGGAGCCACGGACCGTCGTCCGCGTTATGCGTACGCGTTCTACGTGTCGCACACGCCGACATATTTGCTCTCTATCTCTCTCTATTACTCACTCACACTACGTACATCGCGGTTAGCGCGCTAAGCCACGCGTGAATCCGTCATTAATACCATTGCTATCGTCTCCACACGCCGTAGGATGTTACTCGCAATTGTTCGCGATGAAATGTTAACGGTTATGACCAGCAAAGAACAAATCTAATTACAAACTCAACATGCACTCCCTCATCGACGGCTGCGTTGCTTAATTAAAAAATTAACCAAGTGTATCATTCCAAGGAACAAAAAAAAATTAATTCAATCTATTCATACACTTACCGATCGATCGTAAGCCTGTTGTTGTGCTTGACTTTAATGTTCTCTTGCTCGCGCAACTTCTTCCCGATTCCACCGATTCGCTGAGGCCGATCACTCAGGCCAAAACTCTTCGCATAATGACCCAAATGAAGCTCCTTTCGATTGAAGAACTCTCGCAATTCGTATGGATAAGTCGAGTAGAAACGAATCCAGGAAACGTATGCTAATAAAACAATATTCCAATAAAACATTCGTTATTTTTATAGGCTTAATAAATTTTAAATATCGTGATAATTCATTAATTTTTACTTAGTCTAATTCTACGGAACTTTGTGTAAAAATCAAAAAAATTTATAAAGTATTTTCCGTCTATATTTCTTTGTCTCTCTGTTCTTGAATAATTTCATATGCTTTTATATGATTTCAAAATACGTTACATTAACACGTTTTCGAAAACTGTTAAACTTATGTTAGTCGTACATTATGAACATACATACAATTTCGATGTAATGATTGCTTATACCGCATATACCTAATACACTCGTATTAATCGTGCTTCCATTAAGACGACGGGGCTGGACTAGTATACGATTCTATGGGGTATACGTGTGTCCTGCCGCGAGCTATTACGGAGCATTAACAGGGGCGAGTCAAGTGCTGTAGCTAATAGTCATCCCCTCTCTCACTTCTCTTTCACTCTCTCTCTCTCTCTCTCTCTCTCTCTCTCTCTCTCTCTCTCTCTCTCTTTCTCTCTCTTCGCATCTCTAGCTTCCGTACACGGGTGAGAAATCCTGGGGTTCTCTGGTCCTGAGAGAATTCGACATGTGCGAGTACGCTGCTACTCTGTCGTTCCGTGCGAAAATCTTTTCACCGTAAAGTCTCTTCGACCGTTCGACTCTTTGAAATAAAAAAGAAAAAAGACCAATCGACTCGTAACTATCCATGAAGTTAAATAGTATTCTTCGAATCAGAAAATAATTTTTCTTACAAGAATTTTATAAATATTTCCTTAAAAATGTACTTGATATTATTATTAAAAATATCATTTTGTGAGGACTAAAACGCATTTATCGTCATATAACTTTGACGTAACGCGTAAATATGACTGTATTTTTAAATTCTGCTTTTATTTTGTTTTGTTCAAAAAAGTATTAATTAGTTCATATCCCGAAAGTTACTGTTTGCCAAGTATAAATTATACTTGCAATTAATAATAGAATATAATTATATTATAATATTAATATAGTTATTAGTATATCATATTATAATATATACTAAATATTATTATATACTCTATTTATTTTTCTACATTCTAGTATTATATTGGAACAAAAGTTCATAGCATTTTCCAATAGGCGATATATTAAAAACGCTACGAACTTTTGTTTCAATCTAATTATATAACATCTATACTAAATATTATTATATTAATTATATTAATATAAGTTATACTATAAATTCCGCATTATATATAATTTTTGATTAAACACAAATAAAAATTGGTTTATAAAGATTTTAATTCTGATAATTTGCCGAGAGAGACCTTATGCCTCGACGTTTTCCGCTCTGATTTCCTCCTGCTTTCTGCCTTGACTTGTCTCTTCCGTACATAAGAAACCGAGTAGAAAGATCTTTCTCCACGTTCGAAGTCGACGTTGAAAAGGGAGAAATGTTTTTCTCCATTTAGCGCATAAATCTTACGATGCGGCAGCACTGGGAAGAGAAAGAAAGAGAAAGAGAGAGAGAGAGAAAGAGAGAGAGAAAGAGAGAGAGAGAAAGAGAGAGAGAGAGAGAGAAAGAGAGAGAGAAAGAGAGAGAGAGAGAGAGAGAGAAAGAGAGAGAAAGAGAGAGAAAGAGAGAGAGAGAGAGAGAGAGAGAGAAAGAGTGAGAAGGAAGTAAAAGCGAGAGGGGTGAACGTAAGAGCGACCGCCGTGCAGGGTGGCTTTGTTCCTAAGTGATGTAACTGCGTCTTATTGTATTTGTATCCTGTATCGTATTGTTAAGAGTCTCTCACCACAAAGCGTAAGTGGTTTTGGCGGAAGCCACATTCAGTGGTTGGATTGTGTCGGCCACCCCCTCTGAAAGGCGCATAGACTGCGTACAGTGAATTCGATCTAACTCAAAAGTACCCAACATGTACTTACATATATATACTTCTAGAGTTATTCGATCATAAGAATGAATATCGAATTTTGTCAATGAAAATTGTAATCACGAATCACAAAATGACATCAATTATTGAACGTGATGAATCAATTAAATCAATTACATTGACCTCTTCGATTTTATAAAGATATTAAAAAGAAACTATTGATGATCTATCATAATTATCAAAACCAATAAATGATTGTTTTTGAACTTTAGAAAACATTCGTAAAGAAGTTAAAATAGGAGTTATTTCGAAGAGAGTGTAGCTTGAGTACCACTATTAGAAGGGGGTGAGATATATATGCGGGACGGAATGGATGAATCCCTTAGCTTAGTGGCGAGGGTTGAGAACACAGGGGGTTGTTCTCGCTATTGAGGGCCGTTCGGCTCTATTGGGGTGATAATGTTACGAATTAGTGAGATTTCCACTTCCCCGCGTGCTAGCCTTCACCTCGGCCTTAGTCAGGAATTAAATAAATTCGGAGGTAACATAGGAGGAAGCTAGGAAATGGTCATGCTACACCATTATTCTTTACTTGATATCCGTTTTTGTACTCTTTTTTATCGCTTTATCTTTTTTTATCTTTTCTTCGATTCGATCGTCGACGCATTTTTCTTCTGATTTTTTTTTTGTTTGATTGCAAATCAATATCTAATAAAATATAGAAAACGATGTTGGGAATATGAGTTCAAAGAAATCGTTAAATAATTAATTTCCAATTTTTCTTCCCCCCTCTCTCTTTCCCTCTCCCTCTTTCCTTCTTTCCCTCTTTCTCAGCTTCACTCTCTTCCGATGAAAGCAAGCTACGCGCGAAAAGTGCAATGCTAGAGGTCGAGAGTAACGTGGCAATTAATCTATCAATCACCGGTACGTGCGTAGGAACGGTCAAGTGGTTAGCTGTGTACCGTCACTCAAGTCCGGAATGGCTAAGCGCTCAAAAACCGTGGCTAACCTTCGTGTAAAGCCACGCTTGATGCTGAACAAGTTTGAAGCTCGAAAGCCAAGCAGTAAGATTTATGGCTCTTCGACACGTTCTTTTCTTGGAAAGCTTCATCGTTGAGCCGATTAAGTTCGTTGATGCGACATATACTTTCTAATATGAAAATGCTTCTTTCGAAGATGACCGATATTTGCAAGTAATGTTCATCGATAAAAATGTAGCTGAAGAAAAAAATAGAGAGAGAGAGAGAGAAAGAGAGAGAGAGAGAGAGAGAGAGAGAGAGAGAGAGAAGAGAGAGAGAGAGAGAGAGAGAGAGAGAGAGAGAGAGAGAGAGAGAGAGAGAGAGAGAGAGAGAGAGAGAGAGAGAGAGAGAGAGAGAGAAAGAGAAGAGAAAGAGAGGGAGAGAGAGAGGGAGAGAAAGAGAGAGAGAGAGAGAGAGAGGGAACGAGAGAGAGGGAGAGGGAAAGAGAGGGAGAGAGAGAGAAAGAGAGAGAGGCTAAAGCAGTAAAATGAAGGAAACATCTTCGTTTCGCGAGGAAAGCGATGCGGCAAAGGGGAGCTGAGTTTTCTCCCTTCGAACCAATTCGAATCGTCGCATCTTAATGGATTTATTATTGCAGCCAGTAAATTCTTTCTCGTAACAACCCTAATAGAGTAAGCATGGCATGGCAAACAAGATCATCCCTCCTCGTCTATAGACTATGTAAATATCTGAGTGGCAGGAGAGAGCGAAAAGAGACCGAGACAGAGGAAGGGAGTGGTAACGGAGAGCGAACCCCCCATAGCGTAGTCGTATAAGAGTTACTTTATATGCGAGTAGGGTGCTCACTGGAATTGGTTTACTCTACCCTGAAGTCAGCTCGCTTTCGTTCCAATCCAACTGAATCAGAGTAGGTGTTCCCTCATCCTTCGTAGATCCTCTTCACTAGCTCGTGTTCCGCGAACAGAGAGATAAAGGAAATTGTGTTAAACGGACAACCGTGTGAGTTGTTACGTGTTACGTAGACGCGTTACGTTTCTACCTTACGGATTATCCTCTACGAAAATTTCCTTCCAGTTTTGTTAGGTCAAAGATTACGCTTCGCTAGAGTAAAAGACTTTAATCTATGTTCAAGAAAGAAAATAAAAGAGAACAAAAAAAAAGGAAATGAATTCTACTTACCTTTGCATGCTTTATCATGAAGTTTTTTATCCTCAAAAATCAAAGCTTCGAACTCTCTTTGAAGAGCAATCGCAGCTTCTTGGACGGAATAATGCTTCGATAAAGGTCCTATTAATTTGCCTAATATTGTCTCCATGTTTATTTGATTGATCCGGATTCGCTTGGATTCGAGCATTCGCACGAATTCGACTTCCGGCGGTGTAAGGAAAATAACTGCTGATCCGGAAGAACCAGCACGTGCCGTTCGACCAATTCGATGCACGTAATCCCTCGCTGAAAGTGGTCCCGTGAATTGAACAACGCAATCCACCTTCGGCAAATCCAATCCACGCGCTGCGACGTCCTGATACGAAATAAAAAATTAATAAAACATTGCGGGGAAAGGGAAGAAGAGAGGACGTAGATACGTCGATGTAAGAGATTTTAAGTGATCTACCCTCCGTCATAAATCGCGTAATGCTTGCCTGTCGAATGTCAAATACGTCTCGTTCTTTAACGTAGAATCAAAGAGACACCACGGCGTTTACGGAGTCAACCTGCCGAGTACAAATACTTTACAAACCGGAGGACTGATTTCTCGTTTTGTACGAAGGTGAATATGCGAGCGCCCGCTGTGAAACCCCAACGGCGAACGTTTGAGCACGGCCCTGATTTCTTGGCGTTCGGTTGCTCGATGATTTACCGTAGTAGACTACGTAGAGTTCTTCGTTGACGGCCCTGAAGACTAATCCACTCTGGCCCACCACGAGCCAACGATACTTATAGTCGAGAAAGGGACGTCGTGAAGTTGAAAATTCTCTCGCGGCACGATACAAATTTATTGTTTGTCTTTGCATCGAATTAATTTGGCGCTTGCCTCCGACAGCGCCAGAGTCAGGCGCCAGGGTGAAGGAGTACGAGAAAAAAATTCCGGCTATCGATAGAGAAATAAATAACATATAGCTAGAGGTATCTACCTACACCGTTTTCTACCCTCGGCCATCTTTCATTCGTGTATTAAGAATTTGAATTGATTCTTTCAGTCAATTTATATTTCTTCGTCTATCCTAGCATTTCGAATTAATTCTCATTAAACTACCTCGGGATTATTTCTTATATGCTATTTATCACGATATACGTTCGATCGATAATTTTAAAGAAAAAAAAAAAAAAAAAAAAAAAAAAAAATAAAGAAAAAAAGAAAAAGAAAAAAATAAAAGATCGACGTCGAGACTCGTTCGAATCCGTTTGACGATCCAATCGAATCACGTATATACGTGCCTGAAACTCGTCGAGATCGAACAAACTAGATATTATTTGCCACTGTTCTCGATCTACCGATGCTTAACCGGTGCTGAGGAAGAGCAGCGATCGATGAAGGCGATTAAGATAAACGATCGTTTAGGAGTCGGAGCACGATCGCGGCCAGGGATATCCAGAATAGATCACCCACTCAAAACATCTCACTCGTATCATATATCACTCGGTGGATCCGGATTCACCACCGCTGAGAGCCGCGGAACATTCCAACCGCGGAGCCCCTCGTGGCTTTTCAACGTAGAAATTAATAATACTGTCATAAAATCCCCGTTGAAGTGACGCCATAAAACGTGGGCGGCTTCGATCGTCCTCCACCGTGCATTTCGTGCCGCAACCGTCGACCAAGTCGACACGTAATTTTTAATGTCGGACAAAGCAAACATAAGTTCCATCCCGACGAAATGTGAAATCGCGTCTTTATTTTCTAGATATCCGATCTTATACGACCTACACGTTCAATAATCAAGTAGAGTAGAAACGTCCTTAAGAACGAAGATTAAAAAAATTAAAAACTGGTTGATATTTAATCGCGTACTATAGGATTTAACGAGGGAACGAAAAAGATGATAACGAAAGTCGACGATACGATTGCCTGATTCAAGCGAGTTAATTCTCATGGTGTGAAAATGTCATCCAAGTTGCGTGACCAAGTTGAATTTTTATAATGACAATCATTCAATATCTTGAGTAGATTTTATAGTAAAAATATAACTTGTTGTTGTACGTTTAATTAATAAGATACAATAACTTCACACAGACTAAATAGCGCATTTTGTTATGTAAATAAAAAAGTAAAATTCACTACTTTCACTGGTAGACGATTACGGATAGATAGAGATTGTAATGGACATTGGAAAGTATAGAAAATTGATCCATTGCTAATCCGAAATTAATCTAACCGGTTTAAGGCGAGATTAATCGATCGAAAAATAATGTATTAACATATTTATATATGTATATTCGAATTCGTCATATAAATGATACTTTTCTATGAAATATTAACGCGAATAAGATTTTAATGAACATATTTGACTTTTTTTAGATTTGTCCTGTTTCGCGATGGAATTTCTGTTGGTCGTTATTGGCAAACGAGAATTTACCGATTAATATAGCAGGAGAACGGTTAAAGAAATCACTGACACAGAACGAGCCAACGATCATAATTATACTCGTTACGAAGGCCTCGTGTGTACACATAATTTTTAACCTGCGGACACAGCGTGGGTCCAAAGATATTAAATTCCGTCCTGAAAGAATAAGCCGCGAGATAATTTACAGCTCTGGGAGTGCCGACGGGTATCCACGGCTTTTCTTCCGCTCTTTCTTTCTTTGGATCCTTTTCTTTCACTGATATTTTGTATTAACTCCTGCGGTGGCGAAACCACCGTCATTCTCCTAATACATAATCATACTACGCGAAACTAATCGCTACGGTTGAGATCGTGGTCGCCTTTCAATCTCATCCAAACGATTTTTGGATATTCGATGTACAATTGACAAAGATCGACATTGATGTCAAATTAAAACGGGCAATAAATCGATGCGAATCTTATCCTTTTCGGGTCTTAATTAAACCGGTGATTATAAAACTTTTCTAAGTCATTTAAGATATTAAAAGACATATTTTGTCACACATTATTCTTAACATTTTTTAATTACATAAAAAAATTATTTTCAAAGAATAAATACTTCTCTTGTTCGGTATTATATAATTCAAAAATTTAATTTTTAAATAATTAAAAAATTTTTTAATATTTAAAAATGAAAAATATATGGCTTATTATTTTTTCATAATTACCAGCTCAATCATTAATAATAGATAATGATAAAAAATATTAGATAATAGATAATGATATAAAATATCACTTACTGTACATAACAGAACGGAGCTATTTGTTAGCCTGAAGTTTTTAAAAACTTCCATTCTTTCCTTTTGGCTCATGTTACCGTGTAATTTTAAAAATTCCACATTTATGAGAGGATCAGAATCTTCGTCTTCCTCGTCTCTCTGTTTAGTTAAGACAGCAGATAAGATTTCTGTATAGTAATCAACCATGTCTTGTGTTGCCATAAATACTAACATTTTATTATGACCAGATTGCTATCAAATGATGAAACAAATATTGATAAGAAATTATGTTTACAAAAATTTTACTTATATAAAATATTTCACGTTTACCTTGCATCTATCAATGATGTAAGCGCTTAAAGTGACCATACGTAGTTTTGGTGGAGTTACTATATAATACTGACGCACACTTTGAGGAACTACAAAATCTTCGTTAATCTGATTCTCGTCTCCGTCAATTGTTACTAGATTTTCTTTTGCAGCATCAACAAAAATTGGATTATGCATAGCTAGACCGGCTAATTTTTCCACAGCCTGAGTTAATGTTGCAGATAAAAGAATTGTCTGTCTTTTTGGAGGAAATTGTGTGAGATCTTGAGATGTTTTTAAATCTTCTTCTTTCTTTTTTGTAGGTTTCGCAAGAAACTTCTCTTTTTTTTTCTTTGATTTTATAGGAAAATCATTTTGTTCTGAACCACTTTCACTATTCGAATGATATTCTTGTTTAGTTACATCTTCTTTGTTATTAATATCATTATTATCTGTTTCAGAGTTTGATATTTCATTACCATTGAAACTTCGTTCTTTCTTATGATTTTCTTCTGAAAGAGTGGTTTCTTCATCTGTGAAAACTTTTCTACTATTTCGTTTTAACATTTCCATAGGATCATAACCTAAGTTATCTGATTTAGTAATTATTCCTTTAAGAGCATCCACTATGCTAAAAATATGATTTGAAGATGTTAACATTATAAACTTTTTAATATCTATAAAATTATTCCGTAAGATAATATTTTACCCCGCAATATCTTTCTCATATCCAGCATCTAACATTCTATCAGCTTCATCCAAAACAAAATGTTTTACATCATCTAATTTTAATGCTTCAGTATGTCTAATATGATCCAATAATCTACCTGGAGTACCGACCAAAATATTACAACCTTTCCTCAGCCTTGCTTTTTCTGCCTTTCTTTTTTCTCCACCTACTAAATAACCTGGTACAATCCATGTAAATGGCTGTGATAATAGAACAAACAAAATAGATAGACATTTTTAAACAAATACAAAAATTTACTTTTATCTTAAAAAATAGGCTTGTACCAATACTTACTTTCCTTAATTTCAGAAAGCACTCATAAGTTTGAAAAGCTAATTCTCTTGTAGGTACAACAACTAATGCACTTAATCCACTACTCCTTGTTAATTTAGGTCTTATCTTATGTAAGCATTCAACAATTGGTATAGCATAAGCTAGTGTTTTACCTGATCCAGTTTGAGACCTAATTAAAACATCTCTCCCAGAAAAAATTTCAGGAATTGTCATTTGTTGCACAGTAGTCATTTTAGTAATGTTCATATTTTGTTCTAGATTTGATACCTTAATAAAAATACAGCAGATTTTAGAAATTTCTATCATAAAATTAAAAATTTCATTCTATTAACATTACTACTAACCATAAAAGGATGTACATCAAAATCTGAAAAATTTGTTTTTGTAAAAACTGTTTCACTAATTGGTTTCACAAATCTTTGTCCAATATTTGGAACTTCAGGATTATTTCTAAATAAAGATGATGTTTTTCCAGTTTGTTTCTTATAAGTTTTATAAGTTTTATCAGAAGATTCATTTTTCTGTGTTTTATGTTCTGTAATATTCTTAAAGTGTTTCTTTTTCCTATTATTAGTATTTATATCTAACTTTTTCAATCGCTTTATTGGAACTAATTTTTTACTAGATGGTTCTATTGCAGATTGTTCATACGGTACCTGAACTGTATCTTTCTCATCTGTTTTAACATTTAAAGTTACATCTGACGAAGTTGATTCTACAGTTTTTGTCATTACTTGATTTGAAAATATTTCTGACAAAGACTTTTTCGAACCAGTCTCATTTATATTTCTTTTTTTTACAATTGCCTTACCCAGTAACTTTTTTGAAGGCTTAACAAATGATATGATAGGTTCTTTAATAACATTTTTTTCTGTCTCATCAATTTCTGTTACAACTTCATTGGTATCTGTATTTTGTACATTTGATGCAGAAAGTACTCTTTCTAATTTATTTGTTACAGCTGTAGATATATTGTTTTTATTCTTGGATTGAATCCGTAAATTAGAGAGTTTCTGTGTATTCTGCGAATTATTGTGTATATTATTTTGCTGTAATTTTTTGGCGACTATAGATGCCAATGCTTTTTGTTTAACTCTTTTGATTCCTTTGGTTTGGCTAAAAGGAACACCTTGCAACCTATTGCTCTTCTTACTTTCTTTTTTTTCTACCGCTACTTTCTTTAATTTTTTAACAGAACTTTTCAGCATAGACCTTCTTTTTGTCTAAATATATAGATGTTTTTTTTGGTAAAACTCGAATACAAGAAACATAAAAATAACTTAAATTTAATTAAATACTCACATTGGCAGATACTCCAGCAGCAGGTTCCGTCGAAATATTTAAACAAATATCCATCTCCTGTATAGTCATTGAACGATTTTATAAAAAAAAAGATGGCAATTGAATAAACACACGTTTATAAAATACACGTTAAAAACAACACGAAGCTACATAACCTCTTTCATACAACACGTTTAGCAGTCACGTGTTGACAAGAATACATCGACGACAGCGACACTACAAGCATGCGTAAAAGAACTTACGAGTTCGAGACTATCGACTATCTCGCTCTTTATTTTCTCGAATCATATATTTCTTCTATCTCGCTTTGGATCTTTGCGACGTCGTGTAAATATATTCACGACAATTACGCAATTGTCTTAGCAGAATCGTCGCCTAGAAAAACCTACGTCGTCGTTGTTAAAGATAACAGTATGCATCATGATCGATTAGATGGTACTTCGATAGTAAGAAATATAGACGATAGTTGAAAATCACTACAGGTTCGACATTCGCGCCTTATTGTTTAATGTTAGCAAAATGTTTCGATCGTTCTTCTCGGTATGCTTGAAAGTCAACAAGTATTTTGTTTTTTAAATCTTCAAAGATAATACCAAGTGCATAAGAAAATAAGTGGCATAAAGATATAATCATTAAAAGTTGTTTTTCTAATAGAGAGAGAAAGAGAGAGAGAAAGAGAAAGAGAGAGAGAGAGAGAGAACGAGAGACATATTTTGCGAATGTGCGAAAGATATATATAGGCAGAAAGTGATCGTCATATTGTAGTAAACGTGTGTTTACTTCGAGCCATGTGTGTTTACATTTTTTTTTCTTTTTTCACCGACTATCGAGCAAGTGTCGATTGTTGAAATGACAAAAGGATCAATCAACTGTGAAACGTGTTAGCGTTAGTTGGTGTAAACTTAAACGTTTAATTCAAGCAGCTAACAATTTTCATCATTATGAGTGCATTGTGTTGCATCGGGTTATCCGTAGCGTCAAGAATTATCGGCACTTATACATTGGTACGTAAAATCTAATTATGTTTCTTTCTTTCTTTTATTTTAAAACGATTACATTCTCGATGTAGAATAATGTAGAAGACGTTACAAATGTGTATCCCGTTGTTTTCCTTATTGAAAATAATACATGTTATTCAATATAAATATATCATTCAATTATTATCTGTCTTTAGGCTCTCTCGATACTTATAATAAATGTCTTCATGAGTCATTTCTTTATTGGAAATCATGAACATGATTTCTTTGGAACTGTTGAATCCTGGGCTCCCATTGGCTTGCATTGGGCTCTTGTTTTCAAATATTTTCGATTGGATAGACAATGTGATTAATTTTCATCTCGAACAATTTATTTTTGATTATAAATATTTCTCTCGATAATATAATAATTAATTATATAAAATAATTTTCAGCTCAAGTCATTGCCATTTGTTCGTATGCTATTTTCGTATATAGCATGCTGTTTTTAATATCAAGCGCGTATCTTACGTATGGATCGATCACAGTGAGTACTTTGATCCTAAACGGTTTCATAAAAAGTATCTCTTGTTTGTTCATTGTCCTTCTTTTTATAACAAGTAATAAGTAGAACAAAAAATAAATAAAAAAAAAGAAAAAAAAAAGAAGAAAAATAAAGAAGAAACCTTGGATGACGTGTAGATTGATCAAATACATAGTTTCTTTACACGATAGAATATTTTTGGCACGTAACGACCTCGTCTAAACTCGCTAACGATCTTGCTAACTTCCGCCTATGTTTACAGAGGAAATCTAAGTATGCCGTGCCTTGGTTATATATGCAAATGATTAGCATAATAGATCAGTCAACGGCGCTAGGTATTCAATTGATACACGAACGATACGATGTTTTCGATAAATCGACATGGTACATTCCACTCTGTTGCATTTATTTATGTAAGTATTATTCATATTGACTCTTTATTAATAACGATTAATTGTATCCTTCATTAATTGTTAGTACTCAATGCATATTTCTGGATGGTCGTGCAAAGTTCACGCAGAGAATGGTCCAAAAACATAGAAAATCAACAAATCTCACAAATATCTGGAAACCTTACTGATGAAGTTACAACTAAATCACCTTCCTACGTATCGTTGAGCTTCATGACAAATCAATCTTCTTATCAACCATCGAACACTTTACCCTTTTACGATACCTCGAATAGCATGAAATGAAATGAACAAAAGACTATATTATTCATCATATCGAGTCGCCAAACATCAACGAAGTTACTCGGTTTGTGGGATATGTAAAAAATTGAAATCGTCTGATAAAAATCGTTTATGTTTTACGATAGAATAATTTTATATTATGAAGAACGATAAGAACGAAAATTCAAAGTTCTTCGTTTTTATATATGGTGCTTGAAATTTGGCGAGTTTCAAATCGAACGAATTAATATGTATTTATTTGTATAAATGTCTTATTTTGTTTATTTTTTTCTTCATTACTTATTGATAAAATTAATGAAAGAAATCGATGATCCATTATTATTTTCGTTCAATTAATTTCAAAATGAAAAATGTTTGTGGATAAGCGAAGTAGCAAATAACCGATCTTCCATTTCTCTCTTTTCCCTTGCATTTACGATAGTTTTTGTAAAATTTTCTAAAGTTAAGACCGCGTAATAACCATTGATATTTTTCTTTTCAGTCAATGGATTACTTGTATTTTTTTTCTCTTTCACTCTCTCTCTTTCTCTCTTTTTCTTTTTCTCTCTCTCTCTCCCTTTTTCGCTTTCTTGTACGCAGAATAGATCTCCTTTTGGAAAGTAGAAAAGAAAAATGTATAATAATGCGGGTAAAACGATAAATCAATTGGGAGATGCGACTAATAGAGTGTATCAAGCGGAGCTGTCCCTCGACCCTAAAGGAGAAAGAGAGAGAGAGAAAGAGGGAGAGAGAGAGGGAGAGAACATTGCTATGCATAGAGAAATATGAAAAATGGATCTCACTTTACGTCGAAATACTTTTAAACTTAGGCGATTGAAATCTCACGCAAGCATATTCGAAGTCATAGTAACAGAACTGCTGGCTACACGCATGTATCTCGTATACCGAACGAGCAAAACTCTTGTCAACTTTTCGTTATATACTTAGGAATAATAATCGAGATGACAATAGTCGACGGAGGAAGGTTTTTACTTGGATTTATGTCGAATGCTTTCGTTGCTTTGCTACTTTGATCGTTCAATCATCGTAGATACATCGAAATGGAAATTATTATCATTGATGTTTGCGTGTATGCGAATTGAAAGAAAGTGATCTTCAAATCTTTAAAAGGAAAAAGATTAACGTAGTATTGTAGATACATAAGTATTTATATACGTATGAGAAGGGTAAAGATACGCATTCTGATTGGTGGTCGACCGCAGTACCGCTTTTAAAAAGAACTGAGCGAGTCAATTTGTAGACTGTCGCAAAGTTTTAAAACACTAGTTGACAGGCGACGGTTCAGGACCCTTATGTACTATTCCCCCTTCTACAAGAGACTCCTGAAGGATTCCACCACCATCTTTTTCCTCTTATCCTTCTTCGTTCGATCTCGAAGCCACGATACTCACCCCTCCGTATCGTGGGAATCGATGGATTGTAAAATAAAACTAACTTGGCTTTTTCGTGGATCGAAAGCGAAGTACTTGGCGAAATCTCATTCTCGCGGGACTCTTTTATTTCCATATACCCCTTTTCAGGCACGACCGTAGGGAGTGTCTTACACGATAACAATAGATACGCCTATATGTTTTGAAAAAGTGTTATATAAAAATCAAATAGAATCGATTTTCCTCGATTTTAAATATAAAAGTGTTTATTATTAAATGGGCGTTATTTTAACAATTTTCAATTTAAAGTAAAAAATCGACATTTCCTGCAGTAGTACATAAGCTATATGTAACATTTTTATTATATTTGATTGAAATCAATTTATTGTTGTAATTAAAAAAGGTTTATATATACACATACATTTAAAAAAACGTCGAACTTTTCTTTGAAATGATTAAAATCGATCAACAGTGAGATCAATCGTAGCTTTGCCCTGATCTACTTGTGAGATAATGTATAGATTCGTTATTAAATATTTCAAAAAAGTGCATCACAACTATTTCATGATTTTTACATAGATTTCTACATTTCGGGCATATAAAAGTATATGTGCAATATTTTATAATTATTACTATGTTACGTTTATTACCATCAAATATATATATATATACATATATGTATAATGTGTATACAAATATGTATATGTGTAAATATATATATATAAATATATATATATACATATATGTATTTATATGTATTTATATATATATATATATATAAAACTATAAATATAAGTATATACTGTTATATTTATTTAATATATATATTATTATAACAATATATATTATTACAATAACAATTATATATAAATATATATATATATATATATATATATGTATATATATTGTTATTGTTACATTTACTATAGCTTAAAATAAACATATTAGTGCATAGCAAAATGAACCATAAGTATCTTAATATGCATCATTATCACAATTATACTTTTACGAATTATCATAAAATAGAAATAAGAAATATTGAAAAAATAAATACCCATGCGCCCGAATAAACTATATCAATCTGCAAAATAGTGTATAATAGATATTAAATCGTTCTGATTGTTAAAAGCAAAACACGTTATATTTTATTTGAATGTTCTTTTCTTAAAATTTGATGATTAATGTATAATTTTTCTGCTAATATCACAAATAATTAAATCATTTATAAAACTTTCATAATTAATCGTTAATATGATCGCATTAGGAAAAAAGATTCCGACCTGATTTAATATAAATCGATAAACGATAAAAAACATTCACAAAGAAAAATATACCACTCGCGAGTAAATCTAAAACAGAATTACTCACGTTCATGCTCTTTAATAATTTTCAAAATAAAGTTACAACCATTAATCCTTTCCAATCATCTTCGACATGATGGATAATGGAGAGATTTGAATTTTTTTACTTAATATTTAAAAAGTTCTACGATGATTTTGAAATACTTGTTCACTTTGTAGATCAACATTGAGATATTAGTTGATCCAAATATGTGGTTGAATTCGTTGTAGATGAAAAATATACTAAGAGTAATCATTGATTCTAAAACATTCTTACACGCGAGCACTAATTGCTAATTAAATCTGGAAAACGAAAAATTACTATTCTGCAATAAAAAATAATAATATTGGACAGTACAAT